TCTACGCGCGCTCTGAGGCTGTCTTGCCACGCAAGGCCGAGGAGGGGTTGACTGGCCTCTTGCAGCCGAAACCACCTTTGTCGTCCGTTGAGCGCGTCTCGGGTCGCGAGGCGTACCCCGACGAGATGATGGGTGAAGTGGCATCGGACCTCGACTTTCGAAACCTCGACAGCGAAGGACGCGCTCTGGTCGTTGATTTCGGGCTGTTCGTGCTCGTCAACGTGTATTGTCCAAATGACGGAACGGAAACAGAGGAGCGGCTCCAGTACAAGATGGACTTTCACCGCATGCTGGAGGCGCGCGTGAAAGGGCTGATCGAGGTCGAGAAGCGCGAGGTTATCGTTGTGGGCGACTTGAACGCGTGCGCGGCGGTGATAGACCATGCGGAGGGGAACCTCATGGTCACGCGAGGGCAGGCGGAGGGCAAGCAAGGCGAGGACGGGTTTTGGGAGCGCGATGTCCGACGATGGCTCAGGGACTGGCTAATCTCGGGCGAGGAAGGGAACAAGGGTCGTCTGGTCGATGTCGTGCGTCGTTTTTGGCCTGAGCGAAAGGGCATGTATACGTGTATGTCCATCCCTTCGCGCTTGCCACCTAGTTTTGATGGACATCTCAGGCTGGAATACCAAGATCTCCGCGAGAGAGTCCAATTATGGAACGCGCATCGAGTATGACCATTCCATATGCTATTAGATTCTCCATCTGACTTGGACCAGTTATATTCTGACTACCCCGGGTCTCCTTCCGTGGATAAAGGCTGCCGACATTCAGCCGGAGATCAAGGGAAGTGACCACGCTCCCGGTTAGTCTCTTGGCTTTTTCAATCCGCGCCAACGACCACTAACCCGCTCTTTGCAGTCTTCGTAGATCTCCGGGACGAGATCGTCGATTCCGATGGTCGCATAGTTAAACTGCGAGACGTATTGGGACCGGGTGCAGCCGACGTGGAGCCGCCACGTATCGCCGCCAAGTTCTGGGACGAGTATAAGCAGAGACGTCTGGACACGTTCTTCGGGAAAAAGGCGGATTCCAGCCTGAAACCTACCCCTCCACCGCAAGAAGCCTCATCGGTTCCGCGCGCCGCCAAATCCGAGGACAAAGCCGCTGCTGTTTCACCTGAAATCGAACTAATCGAGGATCCTCCCCGCGCGTCTTCGTCTTCGGCCGCTCCCGCGAAGCGCAAACGAAACAGCCAAGAGCCGATTGTGGCGTCTTCGTCGAAGAAGCCCAAGAAAGACGACGTCAAGCCCAAGAAAGCTGGACAAACGAGTCTCGCGTCCTTCTTTTCCAAACCTCCCGCGACAGCGTCTTCTTCGAAAACAAAACAACCCTCGGAAGCCGATCTGCTCGAAGCCGACTATAAACTGGCGTTGTCCCTATCGCAGGAGGAACCTCCGCTTCCGGCGAGCAACGACCAGAGCAAAAAAGCTTGGACGAGCCTCGGCCTCGGACGCCTGCAGCCCCCAAAGTGTCTCGTCCACGGCGAAGTGACGAAGGAGCTGACGGTGAATAAGCCGGGCCCGAACAAGGGCAAGAATTTCTTCATCTGCGCGCGGTACGTGCATACATACGATCCTCGGACGATCTAGCCCGCGCCCAACTCAGCTCATCATTCCGCAGGGCCGTGGGACCGGGGTACGACAGGGGCAAGGCGGAGCGCCTGAGGGAGGAAGTAGATCCGACTTGGAGATGTGACTTCTTCAAGTGGGCCAGCGAGGTTAGGCTCGAGATGACCAGGAAGGAGAGTGAGAGCAAGGGCGGATTTGGTTAGCTCAGGGCAAGTATTCCATGCTGCGTCGCCGCGCCTGAAGCCTGCTTCCGCTGACGTCGTCTCGGGCAGATATGTAACACTATATTCCACCTGCGCCTACATGCGGGCGTAAAACTGGTTCTTACTACCTTGTGGTCGTCACATTAAGCTCTGCGAACGTCGGCGGTACGTACCCTTCTTCAACGAGGCTAACTATGAACTCGGGGGTCGGACCGAACTTAGCACTCTTTGTGTCGCACTTGCGCCACAAAAATGCAAGATATCAATCGAACCATCCGATCCGGTCGATGTGGAACGTGGATGGCCACTAAACGCAGTACCGGCACAGGACAATGAAGCAGATCATCTCGATTTGGAACTGCTATTTCCTCACTGACCGGGGTCTGGTGCTGTGCTTGCAGGACCAAGGGGCCGCTGTCAAACCGATCGGTGAATGGATCAACAAGGACCTACTTATAAGAGGAGGCCGTTCGCCTTGAACGCTCTCCGACTCCCGCGGCTCCCGTCCACTCTTCCCGCGATGCTGGACTATCTTCCTGTAGAGCTTATTCTCGCCCTTCTCCGTCGCTCGCCGATCACGGACATCTTGAACCTGTCGCGGGTGAAGCGCCTACGAACGCGTTTTTCGCGTGGACTCACATCTTTCTCTAGACAGCATCCTTGTTTCGAGACATCTCTCTAACGCACCGGCGCCTCTGGCTCGACGCGTCCGACTCCTATAGGATCCGTCTCCCGTTGGGCGAGACGCTGAAAACGACCGACCTCGACAAAATTCTTTACCACGTTGCACGCAGCGCAGCAATCCTATATAAATTCGACCATCCTAACCACACGCGCCCCGTTTCTCCAGTACGCGTATCCGAGGCCACTCTTCTCTACCGCCTCCCCTCATGGGCGTTCTGGTCCCCTATCCGCTACTCGCAACGCACCTTCATCGGTCACTTCCCGCCGACGTTCATGAACATCCTCCCTGGCGGCCACTCGTTCCTCTTTGGCTCCATGGCTCATCTCGGGGTCTACGATGTCCAGGGCGAGTACGGGATTGCGCTGGACGTTCCCTTCTGCGGGCGGTTTGATCCCCGCGCCGGAGATACAACGCTGACGGTCGACTGGGACAGCGTCGATAACGGCGCGCACATAGCGGTCGCCGTCATCTCCAAGGGATTCAATCGGCTTCACGATGTCGAGAGGTATTTTATTTATCTCTGATATAGTAAGCCTCGGCGACTCACCGAGACTTCCACCAGCTATCTCAGCGTCTTCGCCGTTAATCATACGCCCGGTGCTACGATGCCGTGTATATGTCGCACCCATCTCTTTCCGTTACCGCTCGACGCCTCCGCGGTCTCCATCAAGGGATCGTTTGTTTTGGTTCGCAGCAGTGACTCTGTCGTATTATTCAACCTCAAGTCAGAAGAGCGCGGCTGGTGGCTCCTCGACGCGGTGTGTTCATTTCCCGTTAAATGATCTCGCGTCTAAATTTCATTTCCGTCCAGGACTGCAATCTTACCGCCGCTACCATCGACCCCGTCGGACGCACATTATCTGTCGTCGTCGACTCGCGGAAGAGCGGCATGCGCAGCCTGCAGTTTATCGATATTCCGGTGTCCATGGAGCCAATCACACCAGAGTTGGACCCGTTCTGGACCTGCTTGCGGTTCATTCCACGCAGCGTCTGCATTCTGTCCAAAGCGCCACATTCTTGCTACTCAACTTGGCCCACGACGCAATCCCTCGACATCGATTCGGTGCTCCAGGAGGCGCCGCTCTCACCCGACTGGCATTCGCACATTAGTCGCGGTTCAGCCACGTCCAAGACATCACTAAGCACCCTCCGCGCCTCGTACCACACCTTGCGTGCTGCTGTTTGGCAGTCTAAATTGGCGGTGCTCCGCGCTGAGGAGGAGGGTTGGCGAACGGGTCAAGTGGAGAAACTCCTGGAGGTCTCGCTTCCGGCTGAACGCATGCCTGCTGTGGGGCGGACGGTCGCATTTGATGATGTATATGGGATCGCCCTTACGTTCGAACAGGGCCGACTTTTCGTAGTGCAGTATTGAGTCGTGAAAATACGTACGTGGAATGAAGAGTTCTGAACTGGGGTCATCCGTGGCCAGCTTGCTATGGATGAATCAGCGAGGGTCTCTGGGATATTGACCGGTCTGGACTCGGACGCCTTTTACCCATCCCATTCGGACCGACGGGACTAATGGTCTGATGAGTATCGGATGTGGTTGAATCAAGGTTGGATGGGCCGAATTCTGTCAATGATTACTTGGAGCTCATCGCCAGAGTTGATCTCTGATAGGATCTTCAGTCCAAGTCGTAATAAACCCTCTACCGTGTGTCCTCTGCATTCCTGAAGTAGAACTAAGAAATTCAACCAAAACACAGCGAATAAACTTCATCCTAAGCCGACTGTTGTCATCCAGTTCAGACCTAGGAAGTTAACGATGTTTAGGATCAATCGCGACATGTCCTGTGTAACACGTTGCGGCGAAAATGAAGGGCAACCCGAAAGGTGGGAAGCACACATTTGAACTGAGAAACAGCAAAACAAAGGCCGCACCCGGAATCGAACCGGGGTTACCAGAATGAACAATTGTCAGAATCTGAAGTGCTAACCATTACACCATGCAGCCACGGGAAAGAGGTCGCGCGAGCGGACCAGAGCACGGTGAGGATCAAATCAAGGTCCGCTGGAAACCGAAGGGCTTCCCTTTTGTCAATCTGACTGCGGCTCAGAAAGGTAGTAGAAGAAAATGGTGGAGGCCGCAATAGTTGGTCACTTCGAAGGGCGTTGAGCACTGGAAGAGAAATTGAACCTAAGTCATCCAGTCGTGAGTCTGGGGCCCTTGTTGCAAATCTTGGTTGCAAATGAATTTGTTGGATGCGACTGGTGCGAGCGAAAGGAGTCAAAGAAAGAGAAAATCAAACATGGGCGACTCATATGGTGTTCCTGGTGCCAGGTAAGCTGTATCGCGGACCATGGGAGCACATGAGGTGGAATTTGTCCATCTTAGATGACCACTGAGGACAAATGCAGAGTCAAAAGATGGCAGTTGATGAAGTTACACCTGTCAATGTGTTCAGATTTAGATTTGTGAGTGGCCACCCATGAGTCCCAAAACACCCCTAGATCACGGAACCTCCTCTCATCCACACTTAGCATGAAGTAGAAAGGGAAAGGCTGGGCAGAGCAAGGGAGGAGCGGCATCGAACAAAGCAAAAAGGGCCTAACTGGGAATTGAACCCAGGACCTCCTCGAATTTGGCTGTTACACCCTAACAAGGAATCATACTACTAGACCACCAGGCCGGTGTAAAAGCCTATTCTGTTGCAGACAGATCTTGGAAGGAAACTGTCTTGCCCATACCCCCTAAACCAAATTCCTCCGAGTCAGAGGTCATCTGTAAATTCCTACTTGGTCGAATGCAACAGCAGAGGCAGACAGGTGACATGTTTAGAACCAATAGTAGTCCAATACCACACAGCATGAATATTACTCAAAATTACTACTCTTCTCCTCCTTCTACTGCAGTATGCCTAACATCAATGTCCAGGGTTGAGTTGCAAAACACGGCTTTTTGTCTGTGTCAGTCGCAGCCAGGCTGTAGCACAGTGCTCCAAGGAGCCCTGTCACCAGAGTATGCCTTGCTCACTTCCTTTCATAAGAGAAGAAGGTTTCATGTGTGTTCCCAAAAGAGTAATATGGCCCCTTGTGCAGGATGACACACTTTTCCGGAGTGGTAGACCTACGTGTCTCAATATTTATGATCTTTTTAAGTAGTGAAAGGTACAAAGAAGCCAAGCAAATCTATTGGGAATTGCCAGAGCTTCAAAAATGTTTGCCTGGCTTCTTAGTAGGGATCCCCACCGTAACCGTACACCGCCGTATACAGTACGATTTTACGGGTAACCCGTACCGTACCGTAAGGCCTCTGCCGCGGTCCGAGATTTTACGGGTCGATTACGGCCTGGATTGAACTCAATGATGAGGGGGAAGGAGGGATGTCTGGGCCCTACAGTGGGTAGAGGCAGGTAAAGTCAGTCATTTTACACCAGATTTGAACACACCTGAACTTAATGACCCTTGCTAGACGCTGTTCATTAACCCGTATATACGGCCCGTAACCGTACACCCACCCGTAACTGTACTGTCCTGTATGGCCTGAAATCGGTCTATTTTACGGCCGTAACCGTATATGGTACGGTGGGGATCCCTACTTCTTAGGCGTGTTATGTGCGTCTGAATGAGTCGGAAATACGATATAATCAGACCTGATAAGGCTTTATTTCTTCTCAAAATCCCCCACCGCCTTAGCAGATAGCATGCACAGGGAATGGCTCATCAATTCGGAGATTGTAGGACTATAAAGACAGCCCTAGCGGGGTCAGGCACAACAACATAACCATGTCCCTCACCCAATTTAGGTTGAACAACATAACATCATGTTTAGATATCACTGCCAATACACTCACCGCCCTTCTGCATGGTCTCAAACTCCCACTCATGGAGGCACTGGTGAACACAACCCAGTCTCTACTCCAATTAGTTCAAGTGAGCGTTCATAAATCACTGAGTGCTTGATCTAACCCCAGGTACTTAGAATATCAAACAAGACAAAGCGGATTGTGCCGAGCTATTGGAGCAAGTATATCAGCTCCTCAATGAAATCATCATTGGGTATATCGAGTCGGACACCGGAGTTGAGCTCCCCCCTGGCACATTGGATCAGATTGGCAAATTCACTGAGTACTTCCAGAGATTTTTAATTTGATACTCACTGACATAGGTTCAGAACCCTTCACAAGATTCACGCCTATGTCGATGCACAGCAGAGTGGGAGCAGATTCAAAAAACTCTTTCGGCATGGAGAAATGAGTGCTCTCTTGAGAGATTGTAGGCTGGGCTTGCAAGAAGGATTGAATCATTTTCAGGTGAGCATTATATTGGCATCTCACACATCCCGACTAAGTTTCCCTCTTAGATTGGAGCTACTACCTTCATGGATGATGTTGCCAAGATGCGTGAACATGGAGAAAAAATGCATCAAGAAGTCTTGCAAGCAATTGAGACTGCCTCAATATCAGAAGGTTCTGATACAGGTTCTGATACAGTGTCCTTGGTCTGTATGGTACTGCTTCATCTGAGCATCACTTATGCTCAAGCAGGGCTCATCAAGCTCAACCTCAATATCTCTGCTCCCATCAGAGCCAAAAATATTTCACGGGCGAGAGTCAGAACTGTCCAATATTCTGCAACTTTTCAGGCAAGGATCTCCAAGGACCGCAATTTTGGGTGCAGGTGGGATGGGAAAAACCAGCCTAGCAAAGGCTCTTTTACATCATCCGGAGATTGCTGCAAAATATCTGCAGCATCGCTACTTTGTTCCTTGTGACTTTGCAACAACAGAGGAGGAGCTATCTATGGTTTTGGGTGAATATGTTGGGCCTCGCAAAAGCCTTACTGCAACCATTGTGCAGCAGCTATCAAATGGCCCTGACAGTCTGCTTATCCTGGATAACCTGGAAACTGCTTGGGAGCCAACTGGGTCCCGCAAGGGTGTCGAAGAATTACTTTCTGTACTTGCAGGCATCCCTCACTTGGCATTGATTGTCTGTTGCCTTCTCTTATTTTGACTTGGACTCAACTGATCAAGTCTTAGATTACAATGCGAGGGGCAGAGCACCCAGCAAAGGTCAAATGGACCCGACCCTTTTTGGGCCAATTAGAGCCTTTGAAGCATGATGCTGCATGGAAAACATTCATTGACATTGCGGATGACAGACATGAGCCCCATGAAGTAGAAAAAATTCTGGCATTGTCAAACCACATGCCACTGGTGCTCACCCTCCTATCACACTTGGTGGATATGGAAGATTGTGCCACAGTTCTACAACGTTGGGAAGCAGAGAAGACAGCTCTCCTTTCAGAGGGATACACCAAGAGAACAAATCTTGAAATGTCCATTTCGATATCCCTATCAAGCCCCAGAATGAGGGCCATGCCTGAGTCACAGGATCTTCTTGGTTTACTGTCTATACTCCCAGATGGTCTTTCCGATGTTGACCTGAAGCAATGTGGGCTCCCAATCGATGATGTCCTTGGTTGTAAAACAACGCTGCTCCGCACCTCATTGGTGTATGCTGATGAACATGCACGGATAAATTGCTTGGTACCTATTCGTGAATACATGCAAACCAACTTCCCTCCTACAAATGTCATGACTCGACCTCTTCTTGAGTACTTTCAAAGCCTGCTTCGATCATTGTCAAGAAAGGCTGGCAAGTCATCTGGGGCTGAGGTGCTTTCCAGAATAGCATCCAACCACAATAACATGTACCATATGCTTCGAGATTGTTTGGACCCAAATCATCCTGATCTAGTGGATACCATCCACTATGCCTGTAACTTTGACCGACTGGGTGCTATCACTGGGAGAGGGCCAACCCCCCTTTTTGATAATATCACCTCAGATCTTCTAAATAAATGTGATCCTCAGCTCCGAGTCTACCTCATTTCTGAGCTATTTAATGGATGGCGATTCCGCACAATCAGGGATCCGGAACCATTGATATTGTGTGCCCAGGAGCAGTTTAACCACTTTGATGATCCTGATCTACAATGTTTGTATAATTCTCTATACCTAAATGTCTACTGGAGCTGATGGAGTCATATAGCTAAGTTCTATGATAATGTTGCAGGCTACTATGTGAACAGTAACCACAACCTGCCCAAGGCTCTGGAATATTGTCATATTGCACTCTCTCTTGCCCAATCAACCAGTAATAATGGCAGGCAATGTCAGGCACTGCTTCACATGACTGCTACAAAATGGTTGGTTGGTGACTATACTGGCAGTCTCATAGATGCTTGGGAGGCAACAAGGCTTGCTCGTGTCTGCGGAAATATGTATCAAGAAGCGACTGCACTCCACCACGTAGCCCTTGGCTTACAGGCACTTGGAAATTACACACAGTGCCTATACTTCAACAACAAAAGAATAACTCTCCTCAAACTCTGTGGAATGCCTTCAAGTCGGGCAGACAGGAACTTTGAGCTTCTGCACACTAATGCAGAGGTTCACCGACTCAAATCAGAATATCTCCAAGCACACACGATCTACAATGAAATTCTTCCTGAGATGTTGACAAAACATGATTGTGATTACTATGGCTTAACCTTGATTAATCTTGCGGAGATAGAGGTGGACATGGGGGTTGCACCACAGGAGATCCAAAGCAAGCTTGATGCAGCTGAGACTATCTTTCGCAAAATAGGCTATAGTCGTCCCTTGGTAGTTTGTCGTTTTGTGAGGGCAAATCTCAAACTCAGGGAAGGGGATCAAGTAGATGAAGAAGCAACCTCACTGCTGTTCCACAAATGCCTCGCTGAGGCGTGGGGACAAGATGCTGAACTTGTGGCTTATTATCTTGAAAGACTTGCGGACCATGTCCGTTGGGGCTCACATCATCCTCTCTTCTGGAGTACAATTTTCCTTGCACATTCTGTCAAGTTCAAGCGTAGACATGATGTCTACACGGCCCTCCAACTCCTGGGAGACACTTTCCTTGCCAATGATGATGAGCTAACAGCTGTTGTTCTGTTTAACATTGCCTTGGATGGTTTCACCAAGATGGATGTACATCGGAGCAGAGCGGAATGCATGCTTCGCCTTGGCGATATATCGAAGAAAAATAGGAAATTATCACAAGCAGTCGAACTGTGGGAAATGGCCAGACCATTGTTTGAGCGCTCATCACAAGTCAAACGGATCCAGGACATTAACAGAAGGGTAACCGACATAGGTGTAGAGGTAAAAGATCAGTACCAAACCAACCTTGGCCGACTGGCAGAGCTCAATGTTCCTTCAGCCACGTTGGAAGCCATTGACGATGAATTCACTGATACTGAGAAGCTATTGCAGTATGACTCTCTCTGAATTTACTATCTGTTGTAGTGAGGTACGAGCATCTTATGCAAATCCTATGTTATAGTGTCTGTCCTACGAGAGACTATAATTGTTGTACATTGTAGTGTATCTGATTTTTGTTTAGTCCAATTTTGTGTGAGTTTTCACAATCACAGAGCAGGGACCACTGGCAGGGAAAGCAACACAGCACACTTGGGAAAGTTGGGAGCACATTACACAACGTGCATAAATATTGAGACCCATAGGTCTACCACTGTGTCATCCTGGTGTGCTCTGTGTTTAAGTAAATGAGCAGATGTTATGGTATAGCTGTCTTTACGTAGGTGGAATAAACACAATGGGCTGGCACAAAGGCTTTATTTTTGCTTCTCAATGATCCCA